AGGGGCCGCGGGGCCCGGCAGTGTTGGGATCAGATGAAAGGTTGGGGTATTAAGCAAGCCACAGGATTGTGGCTGTGAGGGTGCAGGAATTTGGGTTGGGGTATGTGAGGGGCTCAAGGCAGGGGGTTCCAGTGATAGGCTCAGATCTGGGGACAGGGTGCAAGAGTATTATGCTGCTGAGGGCAGATGGGGGGCTTGGCCCCAATTGGGGGTTTGTTGGCCAGGCTTCATTTTTAAATAAAATACTATGTCAAACACAAAAAGTTTATGCATTGTCTTTATTTCTGAGAAGGGTAGGGAACCTGTTTTGAATCAGGGGTCACTGACCCACAGAAAAGGCAGTTGGGGCCACACGAGTGAGATGCAAAAAAAAAAACCCTCCTCCAAACCCCCTCCTTCCCCCCAAGCCTCACTTATGTGGTCCCAACTGTGCTGGGGGGAGTAGGGGACATGGTACTGGGGAAGGGTGGTGGTGGGTGCTGGGGCAGTAGACAGGGTGCCAGTGGGGGCAGGGTTCTGTGGCAGGGGAGAGGGAACAGGGGTGCTGGGAGGGCAGGAGACAGGGTTCTGCAGCAGAGGACAGGGTGCCAGTGTGGGCAGGGTTCTGCAGCAGAGGACAGGGTGCCACTGGGGACAGAGAGTCCCCTGCACCAGCCTCTTCCTCCCGCCCCCCCTCCCCCCACTGCAGAGGAGGGAAGCCCTGTCGCACGCCTCCTCCAGGGCTGGCACATGCTTTCCACTGAGCAGAGAAGCCCCACGTCACACGCCCCCTCCGGACCTGATTCCCCCCTCCCATGGAACAGGGAATTCCCAGTGCGCGCCTCTGGGTACTCCCCTGGTAAGTTCCTGGTGCGCCACAGACCTGAGACAAGGAAGCAGCCAGTGCATTTCCGGAACCCCTGGTAGCGATGCGCAGCTGCACGACTTCTGTCTACCCTGCGGGAAGCTGCCACTACCTCCAATGTCGCTGGAGGTAGGAAGTGGGGCTTCTTGAGGTTGGGGGGAACTTGGGGGGCCCGGAACACCTCACGATCGACTGGTCAAGGCCTCGCGATCGACCAGTCGATCACGATCAATGGGTTGGTGATCATTGGCCTAAAGACTGGCCAAGGAAGGAAGAAGTCTGGGAATGTGTTAAAGGGTCAAACTGAGCAGACTTGGCTGAGAATAGAGGCTGGATACATAAAGCTAACAGGTAACATTTTCAAAAGTGCTTAAGTGACTTAGAAGCCTAATTCTCAATTTCAAAAATATTTTAGGAGCCTATTGACTTTGTGTGACCTAGGCATCTCATGATGGCAACTACTCATTGCCCAGTATGATCATCTTCCATGGAAGTTGTGGCCCTTCAGGTGGCTGATAAGGGCAATCCTTGAACCACCAGTTTTGTTACAGTGAGGACAGATGTTTCCAGGTACAGCTGGAGACTGTTCACCATGACTATTAGCCAGTCTCCCCTTCCTCCTGCATCTCTTCTCCTCCTCAGCTTGTTGGTGGGCAAATTCAAAATGCAGGGAGCCATTGCACAGGACTTCTTCCATTTTGAGCAATGCTGGGCGAGAATCTCCCCAGTGTCAACGCCAATGCTGCACTTCTTTAAGTGATCCTTCAGCAAGTCCTTATAACGCTTCCATTGTCCTCCCACCTTACATGCCCTTCTTTCAGCTGAGAAAACAGGGCCTGTTTTGAGAGGCTACGGTTTGGCATCTAAACGACTTGACCCGTCCAGCAAAGCTGCTGATGGATGATCGGTGTCTGGACACGGGTGGTCTTGGCCTCTTCCAGGTTAGTGCACCTGCCTACCCGCTGACTCAGGCATGGAAGCTGCTGAAGGCGAGAGCTGCCCAGAAGTGCAGCTCTGGTGATGCTAAGCATCGCCCCCCCCATGTGCAGAAATGCCCTGGGATGTGCAAAGGGTGACAGGGCCCCTCCCAAAGGGGTCCAGGAAGCGGGCAGGCGGCGCCACTTCCCGCCACCCCGGCACGTGGTGCTACACGAGGGCCAGCACCGCCCTCTCTAGGCCAGGGGGGAGGGGCATGTGGGGCCCTGCAGTTTGAGGGGGGAGGGGCGGTGTGCACCTGAGGGGAAGGATGTGGGGGAGGGGCG